TAGACACACAGTAGTCATCATTGGGCCTATCCACCAGTACCCTTCCCCAGGGAACATCAATCCTTCCCAAATGCTTACCTTTCTGACTCTGCTACCCCACCCTCAAGGTCAAAGAAAAAAGACCACCTTACCATATATTCTCCCCCACTCCCCAAAAGCAGGCAAATTAAAGAGAAAAATAAGTTTGTGCTGTGTGGGTCCTTATGGTGTGGTGGCCAGAGCCCTAGAGTAGGAGTCAGACCACCAGTGCCCACCCTGGTCTATCACCTGTTCACCGTGTGACCTTGGACAAGTCACTTCCCCTCTCTGGCCTTAGCTTCATCTATAAAATGAGGGGTTAGATGGGTTTCTCTTTATGAGCCTTGCTCTGCCCTTAGCTTCATCTATAAAATGAGGGGTTGGATGGGTTTCTCTTTATGAGCCTTGCTCTGCCCTACAGTGGCTACCCAGGCTGGGAGAGGCCAGAAGCTGCAGGCCAGCATTTCTCCAACTGTTCCCAGAAACAGCTGACAACCTCCAGCATCCCCAGCAGGCTGGTGCCGAAATGTGAGCCAGAAAATCAGGTGAGATGCGCAGGGCCAGGTGGGCCCCAGCCGTGCCCAAGACTCTCAGGCCAGGGCACGATGTCCACATCCATAGCTGGATTCTGCAGCTTTTCTCACAGATGTTCTCTTATTTGTAGGATAAGGACATAAAAGGCCTCCAAAGGCATCAGAAACGTGCCCTTCAGGGACCCGATCAGGGCAGGGAGTGGACTTAGAGATTCCTTGTTTGTTAATGTATAGTTTTAGTTCAGATACAATATACCTGCAAGAAAATGTACATATACAAGTATGGCTTAACGTACTTTCAGGAGATTAACACATCAGTGAAACAGGCACCCAGATCAAGAAATAGAACAATACCTGTCCCCCAGAAATCCCTCTCATGCCCCCTTTCAGTCACTAGTCCCTCAAGAATAACCACTATTCTGATTTCTAGCACCAGGGGTTCATTTTGCCTGTCTTGAATTTGACACAAATGGAATTATACCGTATGGGCTCTTTTGAATCTGGCTTCCTTCGTTCAGCATGATGTTTGTGTGAGCTCCATCTGTCATTACAGGTAAAAAAATGAAAAGTGACTCTCACTCATTTTCATTTTTGCATAGTAAGGACTTAATGAGGAGCTAAAGTCAATGAGACAGCCCTGAGTCTAGGTGAGGGTGCTCACAGACAGCCAAGGAAGCAGGTTTACATAAAGCTCCTCCCAAACATAAGAACAACCCCTCCTGCTTTTCCTCCTGCAGAGACCCACATTGTCCTCCTGGGAGGCTCTAGAAGTGGGAGACGGGGCCTTGACACCCAAACTTACTTCAAAGGCCAGAAGCTCTTGTTCACTGAACACTTCCCCTGTGCCCAGCTCTGTGAGGGACACCGCAGACTCAGCATCCCATTTAATCCCCACAACCACGAGGTAGCTACTATTATTCTTCCTATCTTCCAGGTAAAAAAAAAACTCAGGCTCAAAGAGTAAGTTGTCCTAAGGTTGCACAGCTAGGAAAGGGACCCAGACCTCAAACTGTGTGTCCCCAAAGGCCAAATCTCTCCACCAGTCTGTGTTGGCAGAGAGCTCGCAGGCTGGGTCTGGCCTCTAGCTATATATCCGACCTCATCTAGCACTGCTTGCCCCCAGCTCAAGTTCCACGGCCTCACTGGCCTCCTGACAGCAGCTCAGGTCCCAGGCTCTCCCCACCTCGGGGCCTGCATCCATGCTGCTTCCCGTGCCTGTGCATTTACCCTCAGCCACTTCCTCGGAGCAGCCTCCCCAGCCACCCAGGGCAAACCATTCTCTCTCAGAGCATCCCTCTCTCTCCTTTCATAGCCCATCACACAATCTATAGTGACTTGTCCTTTTGTGATCCCTCAATCACTTGTTCCCAATGGAACACAAGCTGCAAGAGGACAGGAACATCGATTTTGTTCGTCGCTGCCTCGGACAACACCTGGCACAAGGTACACCCGCGACAGTGTGTTACGTGAGGAAGAGAGGAGGAGAGACAGATAGCACTGCCCCTTCTGAAGCCCAGCAGTCATCTGAAGGCAGCTCTAGTCCCAGCCTGTTTATGGCCCCCGGCAAGACCCTTCCCCTCTCTGAGCCTCAGTTTCCTCAACTGTCCAACGAGGGTCTTGGAAGAAAGACCTCTAAAGGCCTTCCAGCTCATCGGACCTCTAGACCAGCAGTCCCCAACCTTTTTGGCACCAGGGACCGTTTTCGTGGAAGATGATTTTTCCACGGACGGGCAGGGGGGATGGCTCAGGCGGTAATGAGAGCGATGGGGAGCCGCAGACGAAGCTTTGCTCACTTGCCTGCCACTCACCTCCTGCTGTGAGGCCCGGTTCCTAACAGGCTGTGGACCTGTTTGGTACCAGGGTTTGGGGACCCCTGCTCTAGACCACAAATCCTAGGACGACAAGCCATTCCAAAGGCCTCAGACCTTTGCTGCCTCTTACTCACCCTATGTCCAGCCAGCACCTTAGAACCTTAGAAAAGTTGCAGGTACCAGGGGGCGGAGGGGAGGTTCCTCCAAGGCTCCCCAGGCTGTGAGGTACCTGGGGCCTTCACACCCTGTTGTAGATGGAGGACCCCAGAGCATGAGGTCTCTTCCAGTTCTAATAGCTCTGAGGTATGGAATGGGGGAGAGACAGGACTAAGAAGGAATAACAGATGAATATTCCACGGGAAACGTCTACTTCCTTCTTCAGAGCCCAAGCCCCCCGCAATCCCTGACTTCTCAGCTCTCAGCCCACCCGACATAGTCCCATCCAACGCTGCCCTCGTTATGTGCACAGCTGCCCCTACAGCCAGGCTGGAACTCCAGGAGGGCAAAGACTCCCTGTGTCATGCTCATCTCTGTACCCAGGGCACTTAGCACAGACCCTTACACACAGGACATGGCCAACATGGGGCCATCGAATCAAAAGCCACTGGTAGGGCCTGCCAGGGTCTGTGGCTAAGGGTGCCACTTTGCCCCCGGCATCACCAAGTTCAGGAGAAGCACCCAAAGCGAAGAGAACCTCGCTTCTCACTCAGAGGCAGAGTACAGCTGACCACCCTCCAGCCTCTTCCCAGCCCTTCACAGGCCCCGGATTGCCCGTGGCAATGGCCCAGACAGAAGGCTGAGGAATCGCCCCCTCTGGGACACTCTGGGACTCTGCAGACACTTGCTTCTTGACCCATCCAGTCAAGCAGGACAAGCACTCCCTAAACTTGAAGAAACCGCACTTTCTTTTTTCTGGCCTCACCACGCGGCTTGCAGGATCTTAGTTTTTAGTTCCCTGACCAGGGATTGAACCCAGACCGGCAGTGAAAGCACCGAGTCCTAACCATTGGATCACCAGGGAATTCCCATAACTGCACTTTCCATTCTTCTCTGAGTAAGGCTCCTCTGGCTTTGAAGTTCTTTCTAGTTTTTTTTTTTAAATAAAAGTACCCAGTGACCCAACTTCTAGCTATCTATCTTAAGGAAACAGTCAAAAACAGGATCAGAAATGTCTGTTAAGGGATGTTCACTACAGTTTTAGCAATGAAAATTTTAAAAAAATAAATGGAAACTGCATATTTTTAACAGTAGGGGAAATGGCTGAATAATTGAGGCATGCATATACAAGGGAATATAAAATTGCATTTAAAATATTTAATGACATGAGCAAACCTGTATGATACATTAAGATGTAATATTTAAAACTGTATTAAAACACTAACCTATAAATTCAGCGTGCTTAAAATAAAAGGAAATAAATATATACATATATTTGCAAAAAATAAACAAAAGAGAAGAAAAGAAAGTAAGAGAATTAGTCCTGACACAGGAGCTCTTTAAAGGGAAAGGCTCCCGTTGTGCATCATGGATACAGTGAAGGCCCTGAACCCCCAGATTTTTACTCTGCTGGGTGTGTGGAGGGGTTGGGCCGGGTGTACTGCAAGTATGTGTGAGTGTGCAAGAACCATGTGCACTGGAGAGAGCATGACAGGTGTGCAGGCACAGACTGGACTGGCCAGACGTTGGCCATGTCACTTGCTGGCTGAGCAACTTGGGGCAACTTGCTTAAACTCTTTGGACCACAGTTTCCTCAAGAAAAATAAGAGTAAAAGTAATTTCCATTTCATGAATTGTTGTGAGACTCAAACTCCAAGATTGGTGTTCTGTAATCATTAAAATACCACCTGAATACTAGCAGTTGTTACAAATGTGAGGCAAGAAGAGAGCTTCAGAAAATCTTCATTTCTCTCCAGACAGTAACTACTTTCAGATCTGAGTTTACTCCTGTCTGTGCTGTGGGTTTAGCAAACCTGAAAATGCACCCAATAACTCAGATCCGAGGAACCTTCACAACTAGGCTCGTGTGGCTTGTCACTCAATCTAAAGCCATTTTCAGGAGGATGATTTCACCTCCCATTCAGGCTCTGAGCTTACAGAACAAAATCCTGAGAGCTGTGGAGGGACTTCCTTGGTGGTCCAGTAGTTAAGACTTCATGCTCCCAATGCAGGGGGCCCGGGTTCAATCCCTGGTCAGGGAACTAGATCCCACATGCTGCAACTAAAAGCCCACGTGCGGCAACTAAGACCCGGCACAGCTAAATAAATAAATAAACATTAAAAAAAAAAAAACAAAACACCTGGGAGCCACGGAGAATCCCAAGTGGGATTCGGGGAAGAAAACCAACAGGTCATATCTCAGTCCAGAGCCTGGGGAGGATTTTGGGAGCAAAGTAACAGATACGACAAGAATCATTTAGATTCGCCGTTAACCGTCAGCCAGGTTATACTGAAAACACGGAACTCAGCAATTCTAGTCCCTTCTGCTGGCAAGTCTTCATTTCCAGAGAGATGATTCCTTGCAGAGGCACCCATGAAGATGAATAAACCTCAGGACTGTTTTTAAAGCTTCCCACGAGTCGTGTGACAAGCCCATGACCTACAAGATCTACTGACCAGTACACCTCTCAGAGCCACTTACCTCCCCAGCTCCTCCCCGATGTCATAAAAGTCCTCCACCTTCTCCTGCTTGAACGTCTCCATGTTTGGGCTCCTCATTGAGGCCTGGAGCGCACAGCGCTGAAACATGAAAAAACCTGAGGTTAGGACAGACATGTCAATTGGTTACCAGCCTGAATCTAGGCCCAAAAGTAATTGGCTGTGTGGGAGCTAATAATTTAAAGATAACCCACAGCCCTCATTCCTCAAGAACAGCCTTGATCAAGCCTTTCCTCACCTGTGACCAATGATGTACCATTCTTATTTGATTTATATTAATCACATTTGTTAAGGAGACAAAACTAGCCCTCTTCACTTCTTCAGAGAAACAGGGCCATGGGCAACTTCGGCAATTTGTTCTCATGAAATTCAGGTCTACTGAGAAAAGAGGCAGCTGTGATGCAGGAAAAACAGAACTCGTTTTTGAGTCAGAAGTTCCAGGTTCAAGTCCCACAGTTGCCTACGTCATTTAAACTGCAGAGTCTTAACTTCCTCATCTGTAAAAGGGATTAGTACTGTAAACACCACTGCAAATCAGGATGTTAATTTTATAAACCACAAAATGCACTAGAAAGGTAAGGGATGTGCATGACCTCAGCTCCTACAGGTGCTGTGCCACCCAACTTGGAGTCTGAACTGATTTCAAACTCTCTCCCTCATCACCCTAAGGGAAAGATGCCTGGGAGTGGTGTGACAAATTACAGTAGGCACCAGGAGTTAGGAGCCTGAGGTTCTAGGTGCAATTTTGCCCACAACTAGCTCTATGACCTCATCTCTTGTCAGAGGGAGGAGGCTGTTTCCTCATCTGTAAAATGGAGCTAACTCTGCCTACCCAGGGCACCTTAATGAGAACCACAGGACTACTCTGAACCATGCAGAGCACCCACCACTCCACCAGAAGAGACTGTCTGCATCCTCCCTTGGAATCCTCCTGCCCTAAGGAGCTCACCCATTCCTGGGACAGCCACATGCCACCCTGGACAGCACCCCGAGGACAGGGCCCAGGACACAGCCTGCACATCACAAAGATAAAACCAGCTACCTGTGGATGCATCTTTCAAGAGTCATTAGCAAAGGCCTCTCAGACCTCCTTTTGGCTAGTGCTGGCAGCTTTTCTTCTGCCTGGCAATCAGATACCAACCACGGCCGGGCCCCATGAACCCCAAAAGACTGTTTTCACCAGGCTGGGTGGAGGCACCATTACATAAGGGCACATCTCATCAGTGCCAAGTGGCTGAAGCTGTTCTAACTCTCAGGTGATGTATACATTTCACCCTCTTTCCTCCACCTCTGCCCCCTACAAACCAGAGCTCTGGTACCAACATGCCACCTGCCTCCCTCCCTTCCATCGAGTCACAGACATCCCTGAAGACCTCCAGGCAGAGCTGGCCTGGCTCCCAGGCCTTACTCTCAGGGCCACCTGCCAACCTCCTGCCTGTGCATCACACATCCTCCTCCCTGCTTGGTCTTCACTCCATGCTCATCCAGGGCCTGGCAAGCATGGAATCCTGAGAAAAGCAGGCTCCAGGATCCCCGGTTCTAGGCTAATCTGGGTGTATATTAGCCATGTGACCCATAGCACGTTGGCACCCTCTCTGGGATTCAATCACCCTCCTCTGTAAACTGGGGTGATCACGTCTATATCACATACTTCACACATCCATGTGAGGATCCATTGTGATAAGGACATAAACTGCTGGGCAAATAAGAACGATGATTATTATTGTTATTTGACTCATTCCAGGCCATTGTTTGTGTTTCTGCTTCCCATAGCCATTGAGGCACCAATTCTGTTCCCTTCTGAGGAAAAGGTACTGGGATTCTCCTGGCAAGTTTGGCTTGATCAGAGTCAGAAGTTTGGCCCCCTTTGCCCCCAACCCCCATTCCTGGCAAACCTCCTGAGACTAGCACTGAGTGGGGGCAGGACTACTATCTATCGTCTTCTTTTCGCTGAAAAAATACTTCCAAATAAACCATCTGGGTCAGATCCTGGGGGTGGAGGTGACAGTAGCTACTAATTTCCCACAGCTAGATAGAAGCAGAAAACTCCAGAAAAATTCTGTTGGCAGATACCCTGAGAATGGTCCCAGGAACAGCTATGATCCTCCATTTGGCAAGAGGCCAGCTGCATCCGCTATCAGGAGCTGAGCTGGATTTGAAGAACGCCCACCTCCCCAGAAAACAATGAGCCCCTGCCTTGTGCTCCACATCCTGAGTGACCAGAACTTGGGGGCCAGGGGAGTCCCCTAAGCTCAAACCAGGCCCACCAGTTTGGCCTCAACTCACCATTTCAGCATAGCCCCCTCCCCCATAAATCCTATATTACAGGCAAAAGTAGACCTTTCCCATTCCCCCAAAACTTTCACCCCTGCCACGCCCCAGCTCAAGTTGGGCCCTTTTCAGGGGGTTGGCGGGGGGACACCTGGAGAGCCCTCCTAGCAAAACTGTTCCCTTCCCACAAAGCCAGGCTCAAATGCTACCATCTCCATGAGGCTCCATGACCCTATTTCTTGCCAAAACAGATTAAAACTCTCTTCCTCTTTAAATTCCCAAAGAGGGCTCTTTACACATTTTTAGGGTTAGAGCTTATCACGTTCTGGCTTATTTCATAATCTATGTCGATGTGTAACCCAGAGGGAGAGAGTACAGGTTCCACAGGCACAGAGGCCTGCGTTCATATCCCAGCTCTGCCACTTACTAGCAAACAGCACAAGACAACTTTTCTGGGCTTCAAATTACTTACATAGGAAATAAGTCTAGACAATGCCTAGTGTTAGTGAATATTTGGAGAACTCTCAAAACTGCTAGGGACAGTATACACTGGGACTACTTTGGAAAACGATTGGGCAGTTTCTATGGACATACCTAAGAGAAACACATGCGGATGTTTTCCAAAATGGTCCACGTTAGAACGTTCACAGCAGCACTATCAGTAATAACTAAAAATTGGAAACAACCAAATGGCCATCAACAGAAGAATGGATAAATAAATTGAGTTATACCCATACAGTGAAATTATTATACAACAATGAGAAAAAGTGAACTACTACTCCCTGCAACAATGTGGATGAGACTCACAAACATAATGTTGAATGAAAAAAGCCAGACACAAAAGACTACAGACTGTGTGATTCCCTCTAGGTAAAACAAATCCATGGTGCTAGAAGTCATAATAGTTGTTACGCCTCGGTCAGGGGTTGTGTCTGGAAGGGGACAAAGGAGGTTTCTGGGTGCTGACAATGCTGCTTCTTGATGGTATGTACACTTATTTTGTATGCAATCAACATTTTACATAATTAAAACACGAGTCTAATATCTACTGGACAAATGAGATAACATATGTAAAGTGTTTTTAACAGTCCTTGGATGGTTCCAACAAATGTGAGTTCCTTCCCTCCTGCCTATTGTCTTGGAGCCTCATGAGGGCAGGAGTTGTGACATTCTCACCTCTGTCCCCTTGTGGTAGCTGGTACACAGCAGGCACTCCACGAATGTTGGCTGATTTAAATTTAGTGCCCCAGCTGTCTTTCTCAAGGCTGCTGCTCAGAAAGCTCATCAGGTAAAAGCAGCTGATAACAACTCAAAGCCCCTTCATAACATCTCTCCCCAAGATGAATTCGCATTTTGCCAGTTTAGAAACATGAAACTAAAGGGGAGACATTCTGAGGTGGAATTACAGTCACCAGCGAGGACCCAGAGAAGGACCCAGAGATACAGGCATCTTTCTGGCCCTGAAAAGATGAAACCACATGGCAGAGGGCACAGCTACAACTTTTGGCCAGGGGCACAGGCCATCGGCTCCAGACATTCCATGGTTGAGGCCCATCTTAATGCCTACATTTCTCTTAATGGAATCTCTAGAATTCACATTCCTGCCCCCAACCCTAATACTAGGCAACACTTCTGAAAGGTTAACACAGATTTCCTAAAACCTCACAAAAAGAGATCTCTAAGAACATCTAGGGGATTTTTAGACTCTGCTCAGGAGCCGCCAGCATGAGGAAGGGGAGCCAGAGAAGTTCCACTTTATCTACACTATGTGTTGGGGTTCTGTGTGAGAATTCACGGGTGGGAGGAGTTTGAAAACCACTGCTGTCTGGTCAAACCCATTTGTTTTACAAGAGGAGGAAACTGAGGTCCAGATGGGGGGAAGGACTTGCTAAAAGTCACACAGCTAGCCCTCTCCAGGTGCTCTTCCCCCAGCTTCTGCTGACAGTACCCTCAACCCTCCAATGGTGGCACGAGGGTTACGAAGTCAGTGGCCTCCTGAGGGACAACCTGGGAGGAGGCCTCCAGGGCTGGAGGATCATCCCATAAGGAAGTTTCAACCCTGCTAAGCCCCTCCCCCAGCTCACCCTGCTG